GGCACAGCTCAGTCACCTCCTACATGTGGTATCATCAGCGAGCCCTTCTTGAGCCTAGGGTCCTGTTTTGTTCCTAGCTCCTTGTCCCTCTGTCACTCCCACTCACACAGTCATCTCTGATCCTGAGAAACCCTTTGCTGATTTTGATAGACCGTGTGCCCCCTTGATTTGCACGCTTGGTTCATTGGACTGAATGGCTGCTCCTTTCATGGACCTATTCCTCTAACTGAGGTTAACTGAGTCACAGCTTTGCAGTCGGCCCTGGCCCTGGGTCTAAGCCATGAAAGGCTAGACCCTCTTGTAGAGGACGGATAAGGTGTATGTACATGTATCCATGAAGGTCCTGTTGTTGCCATTGTTAGGTGCCATCAAATCGGTTCTGACGCATAGCAGTACCATGTACAGTAGAACAACACACTGCCCAGTCCCGTACCAGCCTCACGATCCCTGGGTGCTGCAAACTCTGTGCTCGGCTGCTAAGCAGGAGGTTGGCAGTTCACACCCACACAGCATGTCACGGAAGGAAGGCCTGCTGACCTTCTGTAAAGGTGACAGCCAGGAAGACCATGAGGTCGTCATGAGTCAGCTGCCCAGTGAGTGTGGAGTTTTCATCTCTTACATGCCCTAGAGGGACCCTGGTGGTGCAAACAGTGTGCTCTGCTGCAACCAGAAGACTAGGGGCTCTGTGTCATGGAACAAAGACCTGGCCGTCCGCTGTCGTAAAGATGACATCCAAGAACACTTTGCGGGGCAGTTCCCTCTGGGACACATGGGGTTGCCTTGAATCAGAGTCAACTTGAAGGAAAAGGGTTTGACTTTCTGGTTTTATTCATGACCTGAAGGAGCCCTGGTGGTACAGTGGTTGAGTGCTCAACTGCTAACTAGAAGGCCATTAGCTGAACCCAGCAGCTGCTCTGCTGTGGGACAAACATGAGGCAGTTCACTTGCATGGAGATTGCAGCCGGTGGGGCAGCTCTCCTCTGTCTCAGCAGCTTGCTGTGCGTCGGGTTCTGCTCAGCGGCAGTGGGTTTGGTGGGTGTCTGGGGTCAGGATCCCCTGTATAACCATGTGCCTGGAGAAGCCCAGTGACTGCTGAGTTGACTCTGACCCCTGGCGACCCCTCTGTGGAGGGTGGACTTCAGTAACAGATCTTCTCAGGTCCTCTAGGTGGGTTTGAACCTCCAGCCTTGTGGTTAGTAGTCAGCTGTTTAACGATTTGTGCCACCGAGGCACCCTAAAGTTCCCTAAAGTCAGCTAACCCAGGTACAGAGAGCCTAGCTTGAAATCTGATAGAATTGGTCCATTTCTTTTTTATAAAGACTTGGAAAATCACCAGTAAGTTTTAGCAACACAGTTTTAGCATTCCTTTTCTACGAAGAAGGAGCCCTGCTGGCACAGTGGGTAAGTGCTCAGCTGCTAACCAAAAGATGGCAGTTCAAACCTGCCAACTGCTCCCTGTGAGAAAGATATGGCAGTCTGCTTGGGTAAAGATAACAGCCTTGGAAACCCTATGGGGCAGTTCCACTCTGTCCTCTAGGGGCACTGTGGGTCAGAATGGACTCCAGGGCAGCAGGTTTGTTTTTTTTTTCTTTTCTCCCCAATGAAGGCACACACTTCTTGCTGAGTAAGGTGGACTCGAGCCGTTGGAATGCACAGCCTTGGTCCTGATGAGTACTTCAGAGCAGCGAGAAGACTGGCGGGGGGGCTGGGTTTTGCTGACTTGGCCCCTGGCTGGTACCTTCTCACCTTTCCGTTAGAGCAAGTAGCCTCCTGTGGTGGCCATCCTGCTGCATAGAACGAATGACTCCATGACATTCCTTGTGTGTGAACTTTTCCCTTAAGGAAATCAGTTGTGCGGCAACCACACCTAAGCCTGGCTTCACACGTCTGTGGGCACCATTCTAAAAGCTGCAGTTGTCACCTGGAGTGACTTGGAGACCTCGTAGGAGTGAAGTTTCACCATGGACTGCCAGAAGTAGACAGACCAGTCAAGTACAGCCAGGAATGCGCCTTGGAAGTGAGGATGGGGAGACTTTGGCTCGCTCACTTTGGACATCAGAAAAGACCAATTGCTACGAAAGGACATTGCATTTGGTAAAGTGGGTGAATTGACACTGTAGCTACAACAATGGGCTCACACGTGCCAGCAATTGTGAGGATGGTGCAAGACCAGGCAACATTTCATTGTGTTACACAGCAGGTCGTCACAAGTCGGAACTGACCCAACAGCAACTAATAATAACAGCAGCAGCTCTCAGTACAGCCTGATACAGACTGAAGGAGCCCTGGTGGCACAGTGGTTAAGTGCTCAGCTTCTGACAGAAAGGTTGGTGGTTTGAACCCAGTCAGTGTCTCCACAGGAGAAAGACTTGGTGATCTGCTCCCAAAAAGATGATGCCGAGGACACCCTGTAGGACAGTTCTGCTGTCACGTGGGGTTGCTGTGATCTGCAATCGTCAGGACGGAGTTGCGCATGCTGGCTCCTGCTACACGAAGCCGCTGTGGACACTGCACAGCAGTCTAGTGATGTTACCTTCCTTCTCCTTTGTAATGTAGGCAGGTCGGGTGGAGCTGTGGAGCAACCACTAGGTCACTTGCTGTCATGTACTGATCACCCCTGGGATGGTCATCCAACTGATCTTTTTTAATACTCCTTTATTGCATGTTCAGTGAAGGTTGACACAGCAGCTCAAGTTCCCATTCAACAGTTGCTACACAAGTTGTCCAGTGACGTTGGTCACATTCTTCACAATGCATGAATATTCTCTTTATTTCTGTTTTGGTGATTCTGTTTCCATTAATCTAGTTTCCCTCCCCCTTACTTTATCACCTTTGTTTTAAAGTAATTGTTGACTGTTGAAGGAGCTCTGGTGGTGCAGTTGTTAGGGCATTTGGCTGCAAACCACAAGTTCAGTGGTTCAGATCCACCAGCCACTCCATGGGAGAAAGATGAGGCAGTGTGCTTCTGCAAAGACTGAGAGCCCTGGAAACCCTGTGGGGCAGTTCCACTCTGTTCTCTAGGGGCGCTATGAGTCGAGATCCACTCTGGCAGTGGGTTGACCAGTTGTTCTCATACAGGGCTCTTTTAAAGGAGCACAGCACTTACAGATGACGTTATTTTGTGACCCAGTATGTTATTTACCTACACTGTACTAGTGCATTATCTTTAACTGTGTTCAGTTAGGGAGCTCTGGTAGTATAGTGGCTAAGGCACTTGACTGCTAACCAGTGGGGGTTCAAACCCATCAGCCACTCCTCGGAAGGAAGATGGGGCAATCTACTTCCGTAGTGATACT